GGGAAGGGAAGGGAAGGAAAGGTATAAGGGACAGTGAAGCAACCCAGGGCTAGGAATTGGTAGGGAGTAATCACCTCTCCAAGGCAGGGGGAGGGAGCTGTAACTATAGGAGAGTGTGACCAGAGGCAGAGGAATGCAGATCCTCCAAATCATAGCCAGTGGAGGGACTTGGGGTACTAAATATTTCTACTCTGCTTCTTTTTGCCTCTGGTCTCCTCTAGTGCTTTCCACTGGCTTAACCAAACAGCAGTCAGAGGGATAGAAGCCTGGTTGATGTGTCCACAGGGTTTAGCCTTCATGGACACAGGGCTGGGTGGAAAAAAGTGGAGAGTGATCTGGAAGGACTAATGGAAAACATGCAGCAGTAGAAATGTTTCTTAGTACTTGATTTCCTTTATTGATAGTAACACAATGGTTTGTTAATTCTCTTGCTAGAACACCCCATTGCCACTTTTCATTTTTAAAATTGCCTTGCTGGCCATTATCACACTTTATTTATTAATTTTTTGCCTTAGTCAACTCTAATCAGATATTTTTCATATATATTGGTCTTTCATGTATTACCTTATACTAATCCCTATGGAACATTATCTGAAGCAAGAAAGAAGGGCTTACACTTAAAAGTCATGGGACTAGGTGGGTGTCCTGAGGCCTGGGTCAAATTCTGGGCTTTCCAATGAAAGGCAATGACATTAGCTGTGTCATTTTCCTTCTCTGATCCTCAGTGTTGATGGTTATTAAGAAGAGATGGGGAAGGGCTCATTTCTGTTCAAATATTCCATGATTCCTGGAGGTCTACATGGCCGAGGAGGGGCTTTGGGAAGGCAAGTTACCATGTGAACTTTTGGTTCTGGTCCCTGGCTTCTCTGAGTGACTTAGACAGTGATAATGTTGAAGAAGAAGAAGTTGATGATGATGATGTCATTGTTATTACTACCACATATTAGGCACTTACAATATACCGGGCATTTTACCAAGCACTGAGCATACATTAGCGTATTCAATCCTCCCCAACATTCTTGGTGGCAGGTATGTTTTCTACTTTATATTTAACAAAACAGAGGCTTAGCGAATGATTTTCTTAAGCTCACAAAGGCTAGTAAGAAGCAATGCTTGGATCTGAACACAAGCTGGCTTTATGTAAAACAAACTGTACTACTCTCAGCAACAAAATCACGTCTTTTTTCTTTCAGTCAGCGTGACTCTGGATCCAGATACAGCTCATGACGAGCTAATTCTGTCTGAGGATCGGAGACAAGTGACTCGGGGATGCCCCCAAGAGAATCTTGCTATTTCTTCTAGAAGATTTAGCGCCTTACCCTGTATCCTGGGCTGTGAAAGTTTCACTTCAGGAAGACATTATTTTGAAGTGGATGTGGGAGAAGGGACTGGGTGGGATTTAGGAGTCTGTATGGAAAATGTGCAGAGGGACACTGGCATGGTGTTGACACCTCAGGATGGGTTCTGGGCCATCAGACTGTGCAGAAAGAAAGGCTATATAGCGCTTACCTCTCCCCTAACTTTCCTTCCACTAAGGGAGCAGCCTCTGGTTGTGGGGATTTTTCTGGACTGTGAGGCCGGAATCATATCTTTTTACAATATGACTACTGGCTCCCACATCTTTACCTTCCCGAAGGCTTCCTTCTCTGATACTCTCCGGCCTTTTTTCCAGGTCTATCAATATTCTCCTTTGTTCCTGCCTCCCGTAGATGAGTAAGGGAAGGAGCCAAGTCTCCTTCTTGATTTAACTAGCATAGAGGCTATAAATCCCATAAGGGCAGAAATGTGGTCTATTTTCTTCACTGCTATTTCCCTGAACAGTGCTGGGCTTTTAGTGGATACTTAATAAACCCTCATTGGATGAATGGCTACAGTGACTGTAAAAATACCACAGATGGTCAGCATGATTTGGGGGAAAGCAAGATAATAACAATAATCATGCTCTGTCCTCTCTGTCCCTTTTCAATAAGTTCAGAACTTTGATTTCCAAGAGTGCTTGGGTGATCAGGAGAGTGACCTAGAGGTCAGGAGGTCTGAGTTCTCCCAGTATGTTTGAGGCCATTTAAACTCATGGGTGGGAAATGAGGGGAAGCTGCAATTATGTCTGTCAACTGCAGAAAAGAGCAGGAAAATGAAAATGATGGTGACTCTTCTAACCACTGACATGTTGATTAATAATCTGAGTGTAGCCCTGGATGATGTAGTAAGTGCAGATGGCAACCAGATCTGGTGAGCTCCACCTAGGCAATAACCAAGGAAAGTGTGAGAGAAGACTTAAAATTAGCTCACAGTGAGATGTTTCACATGGGAAGGAGATTCAGAGTAAAAATGAATTTTCATGGGAGATTCAGTCCTGGAAAAGAAGTTGATATTTTCTAGATTCTGCTAGAGCGAGCTATCTTGAAATATTTTAAAATCTCAATAAATAGTTATTGTTAGCATGATTATTGGAATTCTTTATTATATTGCAGATATGATCAAACAAACCTTAACTACACATGAGTTTATTCTGAAAAATACATTCCATGTCAAACCTAAATTATCATGACTGAGTTGGCTATGGTGGACATTGGTGAAATCAACCAAAACACAGCAACATTCACGATGACCCCAAAATGTCACAAAACTGCTAAATGTTATAATAACTTATAGTTGACACAAAAAATGCTGTTTATTGATACTGAGGTCCTCTGACATCATCTCTCTCTAGGAATAGGGGAAATGAAGTAAACGAGTTGTTTTTGGATGTCAGAGGCATGGTTGGGCCTCCATCTCTACTCAGCAGAAGACACAGAAGAGGTCATTCACCCACGCTTCCCAGCATCAGCCTTCTTTCAGTCAGGCTGATAGAGGCTGGGTTGTAACTAGAAAGTGAAGGATAGCAGGAGAGACCACCCCCAAAAGACAACACTTTAGCATAAGAAAGCAACTGAGAAAAAATAGATATGAGAAAAGTTCTCTGCCCTCCTCCCGCTTGCCTAAAAGCAGGACATAAATTTGTAAAGGTATCTCCC